CAGTAATACGACATTTGTCATTTATGTGGACACACCATTAGCAGGACTATGAGGTGTTTTGATGTAGACCCGGAGGGTATGGCTTATTTTGCGACAGTTTAGGCGCATCGTAACAGATATACAGTACATCCATGCACAAGGAAAATGTACAAGGATCTGAAGAGGCATTTTTGGTGGAGTGGTATGTGCAGAGGGATTGCAGATTATGTGGCTAAGTGTTATACCTGCTAACAAATTAAGGCAGAACATCTGAGACATGCAGGAACCCTACAGCTTTTACCCATTCCTGAGTGGAAGTGGGCAGATATTTCCATGGATTTCATAGTGGAGTTGCCTAAGTCAAAGGAAGGAAATGATTCTATTTGGGTTATAGTGGACAGATTGACTAAGTCTACATATTTCTTACCAGTGAGGATGACTTATATGGCAGATATGTATGCGAGGATCTTCATTCGGGAGATTGTTAGATTGCATGGAGTTTCGGAGACGATTGTATCAGATTGGGGCTCAGACTTCACATCTCATTTTTGTAGGAGTTTTCAGTATGCTTTTGACAGTCAGTTGTCATTTAGCAGCGTTTTTCACCCCAGACAGACGGTCAGACCAAGAGGGTGAATCAGATCTTAGAGGACATGCTGAGAGAATGCATTATAAATTTTCAGGGTAGCTGGGAGGATCACATCCCACTGATTGAATTTGCATATAATAATAGTTATCAAGCTATCATCAGGATAGCACCGTATGAAGCTTTGTACGGGAGACCTTGCAGATCACCTATATGTTGGGCAGAGCCAGATGATAGTTTATTGATTTGTCCAGAGTTAGTTAGACAGACCACAGAGAAGGTGGCATTGATTCGAGAGCGTATTCTTACGGCGCAGAGTCAACAAAAGAGCTATATAGATCAGAGGAGACGACCTTTAGAGTTCCAGGTCGGAGACTCAGTTATGTTAAAAGTATTACCGATGAAGGGCGTTCAGCGATTCGGTAGACGGGGGAAACTTACCCCGAGATATGTTAGTCCTTTCGGGATCATCGAGCGCATTGGAGCTGTTTCTTACAGGTTAGATCTTCCAGCATTGATGTCGAGTATACACGATGTCTTTCATGATTCTTAAGAAGCATCTGCGGGATGATGAGCAACAGGGAGTGATTGATTCACCAGAGATTGAGATTCAGGATGACTTGACTACCGTAGAGATTTCGGTATGCATACTTGCTAGAGAGAATAAAAAACTTAGGAATAAAGTCATTCCATTAGTGAAAGTTCAGTGGAACCGGCAAGCAGCCGAATCGCGACTACCCACACCTGTTTGGACATGTATGATGTTGATAAATTCTTATGTTTATTTGCTTTGATAGTAGTCTTTATCTTTGTTGTTTAGTCACATTTATATTTATCTTTAACACTAGAATGGAGATATTGTCACCTGATCCTTAATCATTTGAAACATATGGTATATACATGAGAGTTTCATTGTTTGGATTATTTCGCTCGACGTACCAATTTCGTTTAATTAGGGATTTAGGGGAGAATGTTTGCATTCTAGGTTGTTAACTTTAAATATCATTGTGCTAATACTATGAGATGTGTGCAGAATGAATTCTTAATATGAATTACATCTTCTTATTGTGTTTTCCCCGTTTTTAAGCTTTGAGATGCGATTGTGGAATTTTAGGACGAAATTCTTTTAAGGGGGGAAGAATGTAAAACCCCGTAAATTTAAATATTTTATGATAAATATGTTATATGGTGAAAAATAATATATTTTAATATTTGGATATGATAAGAATTGATTTGAGATCAATTCAATGTATATTTGTGAAAATATGAGTGCAAACGCACAAAACATGCACAAAGGCCAAAAGAGTAAAAATCTGGGAATAATGACCAGTTATGAGTTTTTATAATTTTCACATCGATATATTTAGAATTTGGAAACGTGTAAAAGACCAAAGTTGTAGGTATATTCAGCAACTTTCCAACAAGTCTTAGATCACCTCATTCTGAGTTCGGATGAGAAAGTTACAACCAAAATACCGAAGGAGTATTTTCCTAGTCAGACTAGGTTTCCTGGTTCGGGTCTAACTGAATTGTTTCGGGTTTGCCTCTATAAATACCTGTATTTTTTCACGAAAATTCTTTTCTTTTATCATATCTAAGAACCCTAACAGCCACCAAACCCCCATAAAACCTATTTTGAATTCTTGGAGAAGATTGGAGGCTTTCAAGTTGGGTTTTTGTTGATTTTTGGCTTTTGAAGTGGAGATCTCCTTCGACGTTGTTTCTAACAAGTTTTTCCTTCAACCCCAGGCGAGTATCATCTCTACTAATCCCCTTCCTAGTTTTTAAAATATTTTTAAAGAGTTTTTAATGAGTTCTATAGAGCCAAATCAATTAATTTGTGTATAAAAATTGGATCTTTTGTATATATGTATAAAGACTAGGTCTTTTCATGTTAAAAAGATGAAGCACGAATTTACAGAAGTATTTTAAGATCTAAAAATAATTTAAACATTGTTTATCTTAATTTAGATGTCTTATGCTTCGTTTTAAAGTTTCGTGCATGATTGAAGGTTTACATATGATTTCTTGTGCAAATAATCATGCTTGTTATATTCTGCTGAAAATCTGCTGCACATATACTTTTGAACTAGAACTTTTAAATAACAAATGATATCCAATTTGAACCAAAATAATGCCAATTGAAAGATATGTGAATCTAGTTTTCAAAACAGAAAACCATACCTAAAGATAGTTTTCTTAGAGAAAGATATGCTCATTTTATTGATGATATGTTCTGCAGAAAATCTGCTGCACATATAAAATGTTTGACTGGAAATTAGAAATATCATATGAACTCCAAACAGAGCCAAATCAGAGTCAAATGATAGTTATGTGAGTCTAGTTTCCAAAACGAAAAACTATTCTTAAAAAGAGTTTATTCAGAGAAAGATATGCTAAATTTACTAATGATATGTCCTGCAGAAAACTGCAGATGTGCTGATTTGAAATAAATTGATATATTACGTAAATGTTTCTTGAGTTTCGCTCTTGTTTGTTATTTTTGAGAGAGTTTCTCGATCTTGTACTGTTATATACAATGCTTAAGAGTTGTTTAATATCTGGGATGATGATGAACACCAGATATGGACACGCACACCGAGATATGTGCACGTACACTTAGATTATGTTGTGTTAACATACTTTTTGTCGCATGTTGAGCTGATGAATACATATGAAAGAGTATAGTTATTTCATGTATCCGGAAATAGGAAGATAAAACCTATTTGCTGCAGAACGATTGAGTAATAGTATTACAAAAGTATCGTTATTTCATGTATCCGAAAATAGGGAGATGAAACCTATTTGCCGCAGAACGATTGAGTAAGAGTATTACAAAAGTATCGTTAGGGAGATAAAACCTATTTACCGCAGAACGATTGAGTAAAAGTATTACAAAAGTATCGTTATTTCATGTATCCGGGATAGGGAGATAAAACCTATTACCGCAGAACGATTGAGTAATAGTATTACAACAGTATCGTTATTATATGTATCCGGAATAGGAAAATAATAAACCCTATTACCGCAGAGCGATTGAGTAACGAGCATTACAAAAGTATCGCTATAGTACAAGATGATGCACAAATAGATAATTGATCAGTTGTAAGTTTTACTTCCCAGATAGATTGCCCGTGAGTAGGGTATTTTCCTTTGAGAATTTGATACACCCATTATGGATGGCAGATATATTTGTTTTAGCTTAGTTGTTATCCTCTTATATTAGAGCAGGTCACTCGGACATAATTCGAGATGAGGTGATTATTCTTTATATTGGAGATTGGAGTATTTATCATTGATTATTTGTTTTTCATTCATAGAGAGTTATATGAATGATTTGATATATGTATGTACTGACTCTATTTTCTTATATACTCCTACCCCTTCCCCTGGGGAGAGGTAGTGATGATCTCGCTAGCGCTTTGACGCTCGTTGTTTTCCCCCTTTCAGGCAGCAAGTTTGGCGCACGGAGAGTCACAGGTTGATGGGTCTTCTTAGTTGTCCATTTAGTTACCTATCATATTTTGTAGTTATTGTAGAACTCCACATGTAGTTGATTATTTTCAGAATCTAGATTGGTATTTTGTTTCATAGAGTTGAGAGCTATTGTGAGACTTTGTTTATGTGACTCATTGTATTTGAGATTCAATTCAGACTCAGAGATATGTCTATTTTATTCCAGTTGGGCTCATTATTGATTTTTCTTATGCTTCTTATGTGTATATCCAGTGTTGTTCTATTTCTATTTTTACCTGTCTGTACCTTCACCTATTTATTGTTTCCACTAGAGAAATAGTGATTGTGATGGTGAAACTTGTCATAGCATGGTGGTTGGTGCTTGGCAGGTTTGACAATCCGGGTTTCACCTGGGGCTGCAGCCTTGTGTGAACCCTGGGGCGTCACATTCAACGACCCCTACTCCCGCACCAGGAGGTAATAATTTTTGGTGCGATACTCTCGGATAGAAAGCCGGATTTGTATCTTCTGACATTTGTGTCTAATTTGTGCAGGTGCAGCTGAGAGAGTGATCTCCATCCCTTCGGACGAAGAGGGGGAGACCGGAGACGCAAAAGAGCCCGATGATTCAGGTAAGCATAGGTTTAAGTGTTGTTGATCCTTCTGAGCCGATAGGGCATTTGTCAATCTTCTCTTTGCATCCGCAGTCGGCCCTTCTTGGGAGGGTCATTCGGCCGGAGAAATGGGTGAATCAGAGGTGGATGACGACATCTCGATTTAAGAGGCGCTATCTAGCGAGGAAGAGACGTCGGCTCCTGAAGACATGTCCGGCCAACAGGAGGAAACCTCCACTCTCGCGGAAGCACCGATTGGGGGTGAGCCCTCAGCGTGAGAGTCTCTGATTCAAAGGGGGACTCCCACTCGGTTGGTGGCCGTTTCCTCATCTGTAGAGGCTAGCGATGCCGCGGCTGCTACCCTGATGGCGTCGGCGGTCACAGCGGTTTTGGCAGTGCTAACCGCTGTTTCTGCGGTTATGACCACCAGTACTTCAATCGTAGCTTCGTTTTTGGCAGAGGAAGCAGCCCTTTCTCCCTTGGAACGTTTGCGGAAGAGGAACACGGCACGAGCCCTGGTTAACTTCTAAGACACTTTAGCTGACTGCGTCAAACTCGCCTTGGAGGAGAATTGTCCTTTCGAGGAGTTCAAGGAGGATCTCGATCACAACACGTTCTTCTTAATCAAGAGGCTTGGCGCCACTGCGGCGAAGCCATACTTTCAGCGTCTGAAAGAAGTGGATGAGGCTGTTCTGCGGCGAAGCCATACTTTCAGCGTCTGAAAGAAGTGGATGAGGCTGTTCAGCAGTTGCTCGCCCTCCGTGCGCAGAGTTCTGCAATTGTTGATCTCGCCTCCAACGAAGTCCAAGCAGTAGTGGAAGACCGCGATCGCCGCCTGAATGAGACTATGTCACTGGAGATAAGGTTGTCCGCAGAATTGGAGCAGGCTAAGGCTGAGGATGCACGAGTGGCCTATGAGCAACAGACAACCGATAACCGCCTTTCTCGCCTATCCTCCGAGATAGAGGAACTGAAACAAGTTATAGCTAACGCACATGCTTCTTTGGTCATTCAAGAGAAGGCTCGTGAGCAGGCGGCAAAGGAGTTGGAGGACATTGAGTCTCGTCGGCAACTAGTCGCCGATTCTGTTGAGGAGAAGGATCAAGCTCTCAAGGAGGTCAAAGATACCGTTCAGGACTTAGTCTCGCGCCCCGAAGAAGATCTTCGTCGAGAGATCCTAAGGAGGCTTGAGCTTCGCCTAGCCGGAGAGATTCGTGAGGCGGAACTGCGGTTGAAAGCTTTGTAATTTGCCTTTAATTCCCCGTTGTAATAGGATTTCTTTATGAATGAAATTATCCTTTCGCTTTTGGTCACTATTACTTCTGTGCATGCTCCAATTTTTTTAACATGCGTTAGCTAGAGAGTCTTAGCTGCAGGGGTGTTTTTAGCTGTCGGCAAATTTCGGCCGTAAGTTTGTTTCCTTCGCGGGCGGATTTCGTCCGCAAGCAGATTGGGAACTGACTCAAGTTCCAGAAGGGTATGCGGATCCAATTGATTTTGGCCTGCGGGAACCTCAACGACGAATTTGACGTCGGGTGGACTCCGTTTTCAGTGGGCCATGTACTGATCCAAGTGTACATCAGCCAGGAGGACGTGGGCACGTCGTTTCACATTAAATGCGGCGTAGTGGGGCTCTTCGTCTATCACGCCTAGTTCGGACCGTTGCTGAAGATCGTGTCCAGGAACCATCGGATCCTGGCCATCTAGGTGAGATCCGATTTGTTCGGCCTTACTCTCAACTGTTTTGGCCCTAAACGGTCCAATCGAGTGGCGAGTAACCATCTAGGATTTTTTTAGAGTATTTAACGCCCTTACCCTCTGTTAAGAGAGGCTATAGTTTCTTTCATTGTCTTCCCCAGAGGAAACCTAATTTTTCTTTTCATCGTACCCATAATGGCACCGAAGGTAAAGAGAGTTGCTTCTAAGAAAAGGAAGGTGGCGTCTTCTTTGGGCACTGCTGAGGCCGCCGCGGCCGAAGGTATCTTTTCGTCCCGACTTTCGCGTGGGTTGAGCGGGTATTCTTCCCTTGACTCTTCCCTGTGTTATTGTTGTGTTTCACAGATCGAGAAGAGGCGTCGACTACCAAAGAGCATGTGGCCGAGCCCATCCTAATTTCTGATGATGAATCTGAAGGTCCTGCGACTTCCGCTGCCTTAGGCTCTGTTCCTCAGCCGGGAACCGAACCCTGTCTCGAGGTTCCACCCATTGCGGCACTCGCTTCGGGTCAAGAGCCTACTTCCTCTGAATACTTGCCCTTGCAGGCTCGCGTCGAAGAGTTTGAGAATGCTATGAGGCAGGTGATTTCCCTCGTCAACCTTGGCATGGGCAGCTTTGACGGTTTCAGGCAATCTCTCCTGGATCGCGTGGTCGACTTTCGGCGGTCGGGCGAAAACCGGCTTGCTACACGTTGCATGCAGGAGTTTCGTCTTTTGGAGTCGCGTATGATAAGGCTAGAGACATTGCTACGAGAAGGTCCGGAAGCCGACGTGGAGTCTTGCTTGGTTCATGTCAGGCGTCAGGAAGCCTGGGAACAGGAGGTCCGTTCCAAAGAAATAGCGGACTTGGAATCCATAGTCAACTTCTGGGTGGGTCAACAACACTTGTTAGAGGAGCGAATTATTGACCTCAATCGCACTATATCTCGCCTGAGGGCCGAATTGGGACAGGCGGAGGCGAATTTGAAGGGGCTCCAATCCGAGGTCGTAAAGGTCAGCAAGACCGCTGAGGCGGAAACTCGAAGCCTCCAAGCCTTGCGCTAGGAAGATGCTACTGCCATGTTGAGCTCTGAAGACCGAATTCGGAAGGCGGCTAAAGACAAAGCTCGGGAGGACCACGCGAGAAGGGTGGAAGTGGTCAAAGAAGAGCTCTCCTCTTTTAGCCTGTTCGACTGAGATCTCGGACTTGTGGTTGTGTTAAGATATTTTGCTTGTGACTTGTTTGTTTATGAACCCATAACTTTGTTCAAATGTATTGTCTTAAAAACTGGGTGCATGTTTTGCTTCTTGAATGTAATATTATGACTTTCGCAATTGAAAAAACCATAACTTTGTTCAAATGTACTGTCTAGAAGCATCTAATGAAGTTCGTGTCTTCTTGTTACGCACACCTCCTTTTAGTACGTCATCGTTCGGTGCTCTGCTTGCATAGCCGACGTCGACTTAATATTGCAAGTGAAACTCTTCGAACGGTGACGAGTTTACGTCGAAAGTTCGACTTCGGCATAGGCGAGTTCACGCTGTAGGCAAACTCGAGTGATTGCAAATTAGCACTACAAGCCACTCTCCAGAATGCTGGTGAGTTCCTGCTGTAAGTGAAACTAGCTTGATGGCGAGTTCGCTTGAAGGTTAACTTTGACTGTTGGCGAACTAAGGCTGTAGGCAAAACTCTTGTGGTGGCGAGTTCGTATTAAAGACCAAATCTGACCATTGGCGAGTTTAGACTGCAAGCGAGACTTATGGGAAGGCGAGTTCACGCTGCAGACCCAACTTGGCCTCTGGCAAGTTTAGGCTGTAAGCGAAATTTCGTGTGGTTAGATCCGACTTATGGCGAGTTCGTATTGCAATCAAAACTCAAGCATCGGCGAATCTGTCCCGTAGTCGAGGATTCAAAATGCGGGCGAAACTCGTGCCACGCGTCTGCTAGTGAGCCCAAATGCTTGCCAGCTAAGGCCTTTGGGACGTGTTAATGCTCATAAATGGCGAAGTGACAGAACGCTTCGCCTCTTGGGCTTAATCCGATCAGTCGGTTTGGGGTCCCGAGAGGAATGGCTTTTATTGGCGTTGAGCTCGAAGCGTCGCAGGACACCTGGGCCGCTCGATTGCTTGGGGCGACATATCCTGACAGTCGTATCTTTGGATATATATCCCGTACTTGCCGTCCTTTCAGCAAAGTTCTTACCTCTTTGAGAAAAATCCGCTAGAAGAAGATCGCTGCAGAAACCTCCTCTGCCTCATGGCCTCTGATTCCGACCATAGCGCCTCCGAGGGCGTTGGTTCTTCCGCCACCGTCATCGACCCCCGTGAGCTCGGTCCAGGGGTCTTCTGCCCCAGACCCCATGGCTCACCCTGCGTTTGAGACCCTCCAGAGGTTAGAGGGTTTAGTGCACATAATTGTTATTTCCGTCGGCGAGGGCGCTGAGAGGTACTATGACGTGCTTCCCCTCGTGGAGGTGGGTCTAAGGGCGGTCCGCCGTGAGGGCGGTACCTCGCTCGCACGGCGGTGTGAGCGGGAGCTTGGTCGCGTGGAGGGGTGGATGTACCGCCTCGAGGAGCTGGTACACGACGACACTTCGGACGCGCCACCGCCTCTCTCGATGCGCCTCATGCTCGAGCGTGAGGAGCGGGCGAAGCGGATCCAGGCGAAGGAGGCCGACCTTGAGCGTCTGCGCAAAAAGCACCGGGCGGTGTTGGCCAAGATGGACGCCTACACAGACGCCGCCTTCTTTGAGGACGCCGGGTCCCTTCGCGGCGAGGCGAGGCTGCGGGAGTTTGAGCGGGAGAACAGGAGAATCTGTTGTGCTACTGGGGAGGTGGATCGAGCGCTTTAGCTCCTCCGCCAGGAAGAAGAGGATGGCGAGGCCGCCCTTGCTCAGCTACGGTAGAAGCAGGAGGAGGCGGCGAAGGCCCGGCGTGCGGTGGACCTTTCGGCGGTCAAGGCTAAGATCGCCGCCTTCAGCCTACTGAAGCTCCTTTAGTGCCTGCTCTGGCCAAGTGCCCCCTTTTTTTAGAGGGCGAGGATCCAACGTGAGGCAGATCTTGCGGCGGTCAAGGCCAAGATCGTTGCTTTTAGCCTGCTGAAGTTCCTGTAATGCCCACGCTGTTTAAGTTCCCTTTTTGTAACTCGGTTGATGCGGGTTGCATCATAACCTTAAAACTTTATGTATGTAATTTTGGCCCGTAGTGGCTCTTTGCTTTGCTTATCCTCTTTTATTTTCTGGTGTGGATATATACTCGACCTGTATTTTGTCTTCATGTTGGATTCGCCTACGCTGTCTTGGCGCTTGAGTCGAGCTGCTGTAATTTTGGCCCGTAGTGGCTCTTTGCTTTGCTTATCCTCTTTTATTTTCTGGTGTGGATATATACTCGACCTGTATTTTGTCTTCATGTTGGATTCGCCTGCGCTGTCTTGACGCTTGAGTCAAGCTGCTCATGCCATCTCCATCGATATGGTGAGCTTTTCGACTACTCTGCTTTAGAGTTAGTCATTAGGCTCATTTCTTGTTCCTGGCTGTTCACGACATGGGGTCAGGTTAACTCCGACCTTCACGTTGCAGCTTGAGTGGAACCGATAGGGTAACACTTGCTTGAAGCAAAGAACAGTCTTTCGTGCATTTGGCCAACTAAAGAACCCAATTTTGACCCACCATTCAGCGAGTTGTTGTCTGGGGGACCGACAGACATGCCGCCTGTCGGACCGCCATTGACAATTGTCGTCGTCTGGGTGGGCGAGGACATAGGTGATAATCGAATCGTTCAGATGTGGTAGGCTACTACCTCTCGGTCATCCTAAGGGTACGTTAGGATATCCGGTATAGGTCAAGTAGTTCAGGGATATAAGAGTGTGACTATCGACCGAAGTAATAACACATCGCATGGTAAGTCATTACTTAGGTTGTGCCATCCGTAGGGATAGCGGCGCCAGCCATCCGAGGTGATCATTAACCTGATGGTGTTTTGTTGCGATTGGAGCAACTATGGGGACCTACTATCCTTTTGAGGAGGACTGGTAAGTTAACTTTGTCAGAGGTGTTCATTAACGTGACAGGGATTATCGTGATTGGAACGATTCTGAGGACCCACCATCCTTTTGAAGAGGATTGGTAAGTTGATTTTGTCGAAAGTGACAGCGGGGGTCCCGTCATCCTATTGAAGAGGATTGGCGGGGGATTATGGCTTTGGTCCTAACTATCTGAAGGTTTGACCAAGTGGGAGTTTGATGCAGCCCACC